TTTCCAAAAGACTGACTCCCTGGTTATTCTGGTCTACTCTTGTAGTCTGGCTTCACTTATTTGGAAGGAAAGAGAGACAGAGAAAGCGAGAGAGAGAGAGGTCTATTCTTGCACCTACCTGCTTCTGGAGGTCATCAGTGGTGCCGTGGTACAGGGAGCAGTCCTTCTGGAAGACCTTAGGCCCCTGTTTGTTGTCCCACTGCTGGATCTTCCTCTCCAGCTCACAGTTGTCCTGCTCCACTGATGCACCTTGTCCAGGTGGGAAGCCAGCCGGCGACTGAGATGCTGCATGGCAGCCCTCTCATCAGTAGTCAGGAAGCCACAATTGCCACCACCGAGCCTCCACCAAAGGCCCAGACCCACCAAAGCCTCCACCAGTACCACCACCAAGTCCGCTGCCACCTCCTCCAAAGCTCCCGCCCAGGCACTGAAGCCCCCCACCCAAGCTGCTCCAACAGAGAGGGAGCCACCTCTCCCTTGCTGCAGGCCCTGGAGCTGCCCCCACCGAAACCACCAGCAGAATTGAAGCCCCCACCTACACCCCAGGCCCCAGAGGAGGCGCTGAAGCTGCTGAAGGAAGAGCGCTTGCTGCCCCCACAGCTGCTGCAGCTCTGATAGGACAAGAACTGACGGCAACTCATGGTGCAGCCTGCTGCTGCTGCTGCTGCTGCTGCTGCTGCTGAGCTGTCCCCAGGCCCGCACTCTTATACCCCTGGCCCAGTGGCACACCCAGGTGTGCCAGCCCCCCCAGACTCCAGGAGGCCTGGGATTCAGGGGATTTCTGGTGTGCTTTGGGTGGGGCACAAGTCGGTGTTTTACTACAGTCCCGAGATGTGGAGAGCAAAGCATTTTCTTTTGGTATTTTTTAGTCCTCTCATTACCAGGGGAACATAGCACCTGTCAAACATCCTGTTTCAAAAACCAGAGCCGGAGCCAAGAACCGTCAGGACAGGGACCTGTCCTTCTCTAGTTAGGAGTCAAACCCTAATGGCTTTGTGTCCTTTCTCGCCCTTCTATTGTGGGCAAATGATTCTGATTGTCTTTTTTTTTGGTAGTAGGATAGGATTTCCTTTACAATATATTCATTGAAATAAAAGCTGAGCTGGTTTTCCAAAACATGTTAAATATTTAAATGAGTGGAATCAGGGCCAGGGATTTAGCTCAGTGGTTCTGCCGCCTGTCTCGCAAGCACAAGGTCCCGAGTTCGATCCCCAGTACCAATAAATAAATAAATAAATAAATAAATGGGTGGTATCAAATGCTAACTAAATCATAAAACAAGAAGTAGGCAGAGCAGAGGGTCCTGAAGGCACTGTGGCTGATACACAGGCGACTCTCCTGCCCAGGGTTCTCAGGGGCACCTTGATTCCCTCTCCAGCTTCTCGAGGTGCAAAAGCTTTTCCCAGGGTCTTGCCAGGCCTCACTGCAAAGCCCGAACCTGCTGGATGCCCGTCTGTACTCTTCTCTGCCTGCTTCCTGGGCCTCCCCCCAAGGCCAGGCCCGGTTGGGATGAGACCAGGCCCGGTGCCTGAGGGGGAGCAGCTGGCAGAGACTGCGGAGCTGGGCAGCTGGCCCCCGGCCGTTCTCTAGCCCCACCCCAGCCCCAAGCAGCAGGCTCTGCCCACAGCAGCCCCCCAGTGCCCAGGGCACCCCCAGGGTGGCCCCTCCCAGCCTTGCCAGGCCGCCTCCTGGCTCTCCCACCTGGGGCCTAGGAGTCTCCACAGGATGGGAGCCCAGACCCCGCCCTCCACTGAGCGTGGAGAAGGCACTGCCCGCTCCCTCATCCGGCCACCACCACCCCCGCCGCCCTCCTGCACCTCTGCCTGTCCTCTGCTCCTCCCTGGGGACCCCAGGGGCACAACTATGGAGAGAGCAGCTGCTCCGGGTCAGAGGGGCTGGATGCCTGCTGGCCCCACCCAACCCATGCCCCGGGCCTGGCCTCAGTTTCTGCAGGGAAGACTTTTCGTGCCGAGTGAGCAGGGGCATAGATACGGTGCAGGAGGTGGGTGTCCTCCCCACATCCCATCTCCACAGCCCAGGCCGCACTGTGCCTGCTGCTAGGCACTGCTTTCTGTCCTCCCAGTCTCCTGCATGGCGTGGGGCCAGTGGGGTCAGGGCTGAAGAGGCAGAGAGGGGCCTGAGAGGAAGCCAGGAGCTGAATCCCTCTGCACGGTGCCCCCAAACAGGAAGAGGTCTGTGCCCCGTGGAGGGCAGGGGACACGGGGTCAGCCCTGCCCCTTGCCTGGACTGGCTGCCTACTCTACACTGCTGTCTGCCACTGAGCCTCCCTGAGTCGCTCTGCAGTTGTGGGGGAGAGCAGGCTGAGTCATGCTTCTCTCTCCGCAGCCACCCCGGCAGTGCCCGCTGCCCGCTGCCCACTGGCACAGGGCTGGGGGTGACCACGTCTGCCTGTCAAAGCCGATTCTTTCTCACACAGTAGTCCTTGGCCAGCACCCCACCCAGCCAGACCCCGCCAGACCCAGGGGCTGAGTCCCAAGGCAAGATTCTCCCCCACATTTGGGGGAAGTGGCCTCCCGGCTGCACCTGTTTTGTTACCGTCTGTTCAGGTCCCTAACTGAGCATCTACTGCGGCTGGGCACTGCCCTGAAAAGCAAGGATGCAGGTATGAGCAAGGCCTGGCCCTCTGTGGAATAAAACAGATCTCTAAATAAATGCAACTGACAGCTGGTAGGGAAGCGGGGAACACACAAGGGATGTGCCTGACCTGGGGTCCGGGACAGTCTCCTGAGAGACACTGTGAGGAAGTAAGATGTAGCCAGGAGCAGCGGGAGGGAAGAGACTCCCAGAGAATGGACAAATGCCCTTCGGGGAGGCAACAACCTGCTTCGGGGTGGAAGCCCAGCTTAGCTAAACACAGTTACATCAACTTCACAATAGATCCTGGAGGGGAAACAGTCCTGCCCTCCTGAGATTGCTGTGAGTCTGGTGTGGTTTTGTCCAGCACCCGGTGGGACAGTTTCCTGGCTGCTGCTGGCCCTGAGTCTGCTCCTCAACTTCCTCTCGGACCATCTGGGTGACCTAGTTCTTGGGTCCCTTGCTTATTCTTAGTCTACTGGACCCGGGCAGGTGGGAGCTGCAGAGGATACCAGGCAGAGAATCGCAGCTCCTTCACGCCAGGAAGCTGCAGGCTTGGCCCCTTGCAGCCTGGCTGAGCTGGAGCATGTCAGAACCCTGGAGGACCAGGCTCAGGGCGGGGGGCTTACCGCTGGCCCGCCTGCCACCCCACACTCCACACTCAGAAGGTGGAGACCCTCCAGATTGCACTGGAAGGAGGGAGAGCCCTGGGACTCTAAGAGGCAACCCCTCCTGCATCCACTAGACAGTGCTACAGAGTCGCTTTTCCCAGCTGTTGTTTCGGGGAGAGGACACGGCCCAGGTCCTGAGTGGGGTGGGGTGGCCTCCAACCCTTGGGGACCAGAGGTCAGCCTTGGGGACTGGTGGTCAGCAGGACTCAAGTGTCAGATGAGGACTGCTCCCCAGATTCCAGGCCGCATGGAGCAGGAGGCTCACGGCTCAGCTGGGACCCTGGTCCCTGGGCACAGCATCCCCAGGGGTGTCACGAAGCCCCTCTTCCCAGGCTCCTGACCCAACCGGGACCTGCCCTTCCTAGTCCCCAAGGAACCCCCTCAGACCTGTCCTGCTCCAGCTGCCTGCTTCTCCCCCTGCTCACTGGGGGAGCACCCAGCTCAACCTTTCCTGCCCCAAGCCTCATGGAGAAGACATCCAGAGCTTCAGAGGGTGTCGGTAGGGACCGAGAAGCCAGCGTCATTTTGTCCCCTTGCTAATGACACCCCCCCCCATGCCTCTATCCACTATCCGGAGCACCATGCTCAGCTCAATGCCAAGCTCTGCCTTGTGAGGTCATCTCTCCTCCTTTGCCCTGGGTGATGAAGCTGCTTGTAACCCACGGGGTGAAAGGAATGTGGGTCCAATACCTCACCCCAACTCGTCAGAGCTGCCTAGCCAGGGACTGCGGAAGCCAGGGCAGGATCTGATTCCAAAGCCCGGGTCTTCAGCCCTTTGCCCAGGGTCTGTTTCCACCCCATTCCAGCCTCTGCACTAGAGGCCCCTCGAGGCTCCTCCCCTTCCCACTCCTTTTCCGGCCCCCCAAAGGGATCAAAAGACCCTTCCCCACCAAAGGGAGGCTCCACAGTCCTGGCTCTTAGGGTGCCTTTCCTCACCAGACCCCTCTATCAGCCCCAAGAAGCGAAATTCATTGTCTCTTTTGTGCAAGTGAGGAGACTGGAGCTCAGACTCCAAGGCAGCCAGAGCTAATGCAGAACAGAGCCGGAGCTGGAACCAGGCAGGCCACTCCCAAAGCTCCCAAAGGCCCTCCGTCTGCATGCCTGGTGTCAGTGCACAGCCCCTCCCATGAACGTGCAGTGCTAGCCGCAGCGTGGGCTCTGTCCTCACTCCCTGTCACACGCGTGCCAATTCAGGCTTGGAGGCAGCAATCAATGCACCCCAGGGCAGCTGGATTAGATTCACTTCTGGAAAGCTAGTGCCAGCTCAGGGAGAACAGCCAGCCTCAGAGCACCAGTTCTTATTCAAACTTTGAGTTCATGGGTCACCCTGAGGGGACTCAGGGGACCCCTGAACCCCACGAATTGTATGCAAATGTGGATGCTTATTTGGAGATGGGGCGAAAGAAGAAAATCTAGAGCTTCCATATAGGTCAAAGGGTTCCCTGATTACAAAAGAGGGAAGGATCTTTCACCTAGCACAGTGCCTGGCCCTGGAGGCACTCGGTACCAGGTGCACAGATGGGTGATTGTCCCTGTGTGCTTGGGGAGACCACAGGTGACCTGGTACACCCATCCATGTGTCTTCTGAAGTGGTGAAGCCATCTGGGAGGAAGCCCAGTCGGCCCAGAGCCTTTCACCCAGTCCCTGAGGGCACAGCCAGGTGCCATGATGAGGGCCCACGCAGTGCCGCCCGCCCCCCGCCCCCGCAAGGACCAAGGACAGGCAGAGGCGGCCTTGTGCAACTCAGATAAAGAAGCTTTATTGACTGCCAGGAGGGAGCAAGGGTAAAGCGGGGCCTGAAGCTCGTGGGAGGCCGGGCAGGGCGTCTTGCGGGGAGAGGTGGGTCCACACCAGGGCCCTCCTGAGCCTGCGCGGTGCCGAGCAGCCCTAGTTCTTGGTACGCAGGACCTGCTCGTGGGAGGACACCACCTTCCCGTCGTGCACGTCCATCACCTTGGTGCGGATCTGGCGGCTGGAGGAGGTCACTGGGAAGGAGGGAGAAAGGGCGTCACCAGAGCTGGCAGGAAACAGGGTGATCAGGCGTGGAGAGGGTGCCCTCTCCCCCAATTACCACTCTGCACACTGCTGTTACCCAAGCTCGGAGCCCGTCACAGTTCAGACTGCAGCTCCGCTCCCTAAGGTCCGGGGCAGAGTCTGCGTCTTCAGACCCGAGCTCCCTAAGAACCCAGGACCCCGCCTCCACCCAAAGGACCCCAGCGCACTGGCGGGTCCTGGCCTAAGAGCCGCATGGCGCTGTCCGCGGTGCTGACCGCCGTAAACATGGGGTCCACACAGGTAGAGAAGTGCAGGTGGGCAGCCCAGCCCAAGCGGGGTTAGGACAGGGCTTCCACCACCCAGAAAGGTCAGAAGGGTCTCTAGGAGAGCACACTGTAACTCAGCCGCTGGAGAAGTTCCTGGCCCGGGCTCTGGACATTCTGGGCCCAGGGTCCAGGCTCCATAAGGAAGCACATCTTACCATCTCTGGATGACTGGGAGCCGGAGGAGAACTGGGCTGAGGAGAGGCTGTGAAGACAGAAAAGGCAGAACCATTAGACACCCGGAGGGGAGGCAGGGAAGATGGGGCCCCCGGATGGGGAAGGGCAGGCACTCACTGGGCGTCCTCGCCCTCCAGCAGGCGGCGGTAGGTGGCAATCTCCTGCTCCAGCCGCGTCTTCACGTCCAGCAGGATCTTGTACTCCTGGTTCTGCTGCTCCATCTCGCAGCGCAGCTGGGCCAGCTGCTCCTCCACGCTGCCGATCATGTCCTGGATCTGCGACAGCTGCAGGCAGTAGCGGCCTTTGGTCTCCTCCAGGCTGTTCTCCAGGGATGCTTTCTGTGAGCAGAGACAGAGGACCTGGGGTCACTGGGTGGGCCCTACCCTCTCTGTCCACCCCAGGCCCACCCCGGGCTCAGCCAGGCGTCCCCACCATGCTGAGCTGGGACTGCAGCTCGATCTCCAGGTTCTGCACGGAGCGGCGCAGCTCGGAGATCTCAGTCCTACCGCTCTGCAGGGCCTCGGTATTGGTGGCCACCTCACGGTTCAGCTCCTCCGTCTGCACAAAGAACGCCATTCACACCAGACAGCCCCAAAGGCAGGGCACCCATCTGGGCCCTTCCTCTGCCCATGGCCCCACCTTGCTGAAGAACCAGTCCTCGGCCTCCCTGCGGTTCTTCTCCGCCATCTTCTCGTACTGGTCGCGCATCTCGTTCAGGATTCGGCTCAGGTCCACTCCGGGGGCTGCGTCCATCTCCACATTGACGTCCCCGCCAGTCTGGCCACGCAGGGCCAGCATCTCCTACACCGCAGAGGAGAAAAGGTCCATGGTGAGGGCCCGGGCCCGACCGCTCCCCTCCCCAAAGCCACTCCACCCTGCTCGCCCAGCAATGCTTTGAACTGCCTTCTCCTGTCAGCGCCCACCTCCTCGTGGTTCTTCTTCAGGTAGGCCAGCTCCTCCTTCAGGCCCTCGATCTGCATCTCCAGGTCGGCCCTGGCCAGGGTCAGCTCGTCCAGCACCCTGCGCAGCCCGTTGATGTCGGCCTCCACGCTCATGCGCAGGTTCAGCTCTGTCTCGTACCTGGGGAGACCCAGGAGTAAAGGAATGAGAGGCCCTTCCGGTCCACACAGGAAGCTTTGCTCTCTCCCCTCAGCTTCCCAGAGCTGGCACCCAGGGCGCGGTGTCTGAACATAGTGCTCATTGATTGCTCAGATGAGCGCATTCCTGGGGCTCTGGAAACAAGGTGATCATCATGCTGCAGGACTCGGGAGGGAGGCGCGTCTAGCTGCAGCCAACCAATAAGGCTCCGGGCCTCCAAATATGACCACGTACTTCACTTGGGGCAGGGGCAGGCAGGGCCTCTCCCTAAAGCAGGGCTTCCCAAACCTGGCAACCTATTAAAAATAAATGAACCAGGGCTGGGGATTTAGCTCAGTTGTTTCGCTGCCCGCTGCGCAAGCACAAGGACCAGAGTTTGATCCCTGGTACCAAAAAAAAAATAATAATAACTGAACCAAAACTCCAAGGGTGGGGCCCAGGAGTCTTACATTTTACAAGCTCCCAAGGGTTTCTCTTGGCACAAGTGAACTCTGTTTGGGAAAAGCGCCCCACCTCAGGGAGCCTGCATGTGTTGAGCCCCACTGAAACTCACTTGGTGCGGAAGTCATCCGCGGCCAGGCGGGCGTTGTCAATCTGCAGCAGGACGTTGGCGTTGTCCACGGTGGCCGTGAGGATCTGCAGCATGGAAAGAGACATCAGTAGCCAGGCAGCACTGCAGCCCGCATGGCCTGTCGGGCCCTGTTCTTGCCCAAGTCCCCTGCCTAAGGGACAACCCCAAGATGCCCACCCTGACCCAGGGCTTCAATACGTGAGGGGCAGAAGGGGCACAGAGCCTGGACCTGGTCTCCAAGCCTCGGCGTGGGTGGTCCCAGCCCCTGACTGCTGCAGAGCCCAGAGCCTCTCAGGGCTCTGCATCCCTGCCTGCCGCCCTAGACCAGCCCCACCCTCAGATCTGCCCTTCCCAACCTGAGGCAGCCCTTTGGCTCCACATGGCTCTGCACACTTCCTTTGCAAGGCCACAGTGCATGAGGCCTCAGGTGGGATTTTCCAAAAGACAAGACCCAGCTGGCAGCAGGATTAGAAAGAGGAAGCAGTGGAGGAGGAGGAAGACAGAGGGCCCTGCACCAAGTCTCTCGTTTCCCTAATCTCTGCACAGCAGCAGAGCCGCACGGCTCGGCCAGGGCTCCTGGGGTGCAGGGCACAGAGGGCACAAGCCCACCAGGGCAAGGTGTGGCTGCCACTGACTGCGGCTGTGGGTTTCCTGCGCCCGTCCGGCCCGTGCCAAGGCTGCTGGGCGTCGGCCACAGCCCAGACTAATGAGCTAATGAGCGGTTTGTGCGTCTCAACAGCCCGTTACAGCCGGCTCCTCCCCTGTGCAGGAGAGCAGGTAGCTGCCTCCTGCACCCCCGAAGCTCAACTGCTTCCCCTGCAGATGTGGGGGCAGGAACTGCTGGTTCCCCAGAATCTGGGGGTGGGAGTGCAGGACATGAGCGGGCTGGGCAGGGGAGACCGTCTTCTCCCCAGCAGCTGTTGGGGGTCTGGGACCCCCAGAGAAGGAATTGGGGTTCGAGTCTGCCCTGCCTGGAAATCTAGATGTGCCAGGGGCCCGGGGCATCTGCTGCTCTGAAAGAGGGGTGACCGAGTGCCACCTCTGCCTCCCACCTTGTTCCTCAGGTCCTCAATGGTCTTGAAGTAGGGGCTGTAGTCTTTAGTCTCAGCCGGCCGCTGCCTCTGGTACCAGTCGCGGATCTTCACCTCCAGGTCGGTGTTGGCCTCCTCCAGGGCGCGCACCTTGTCCAGGTAGGAGGCCAGGCGGTCGTTGAGGTTCTGCATGGTCACCTTCTCGCTGCCAGCAAGGAGGCCACCATCGCCACCACCAAAGCCACCTCCAAAGTTGACACCAAGGGCACCACCGTATCCTCCACCGAAGCTGCTGCCGCTGCTAAAGCTGCCAGCATAGCCGCCCACCAGCCCGCAGGCTCCCCCGGAGGAGAAGCGGGAGGAAGAGACCGACAGCCCCCCGTAGGTGCTGGGGGCCAGGATGGAGGAGACACGGCTGGAGCCGCCGATGCCGCCTCCGATGCTGCCTCCGATGCTGCCTCCGATGCCACAGGAGCCCTTCATGGAGGTGGACGTGAACTGGCGGCTGCAGGTGGCCATGGTGCCTGGGAGAGAGGAGAGGCTTCAACAGTGGTCGCTCAAGTGGCAGACAGAGAGAGGAGGTGCCGGAGCACAAGGACGTGGGGCTTTAAAGGCTGGGGAGGGGCGGGCCTGGCATTTTCCATTCCCCTGGGCTTTCATCACCCTCGGGCCAGCGCCAGCTCCCTGGCAGCTCCCTCTCCCGCCCCTGCCCCATTGCGTCTGTCATATTTTACTGGAAACTCATTGTTTGGGGTGTTTGGGGCTTTCTTGTCCCGCCAGCGTGATTCACCGGGAGGTGCAGGCCTGCAGGCTATACTTTCCTTCCCATCGGCCCCCGGAGCTGCGGGACCCACACGGGGCTCAGCCAGTCACAGAGCAAGGTCTGCAGGGACCCTGGTGACCTGCTGGCATCCCTGAAGCCAGTGCCCCTGCAGGTGACTGACACCACCCTCACCACCAGGAGAGGCGGAGGGGCCCAGCCTGCCACACTGGTGTCCCTGACGCCTTGTCCAGACAGCCCTGCCCAGGCCCTAACACCTGCCAGGCCTTGGGGACAGGGACAGGGCGTGGGCTGCTCACTGTGGCCAAGGGCAGGCCCCACAGGCACAGCCAGGGACCTCGGGAAAGCACAGGGAGCCAGGTGAGCCCCTCCTGCCTCTGCCATCTACTCCCAGGAATCCCTTTGCTCGTCAGCAGAGTGGGGTGAAGCCTGCCCAGTGTGCCCGCTGCGGCCTGTGCCCAAGGGTTTGTAACCGGGTCCCACAGAGTCTGCCTAGCAGGGCTGCGGTCCACAGAGCCCTAGAGGGGCTGAGGCAATAGCCCTGCAGGAGGACTTTTATTGGGTTTGGGGGATTTTTTTGTTTTGGATTTTTTGTTGTTTGTTTTTTCTTTTCTTTTTTCAGTACCAGGAATCGAACACAGCATCTTGGTCTTTTGAAGCAGGCATCGCTCCACTGAGCTAAATCCCTGGCTGTTGTTTGTTTTTTGAGACGGGTCTCGCTATGTCATTCAGGCCAGCCTTGACCTCACTGTGCAGCCCACGCTGACCTTGAACTCTTGGTGACCCTCCTGCCTCAGCCTTCGGAGTGCTGGGCTGACAGGTGTGTGCCGTCCTGCCCTGCTGAGGGGACTTTCACTCCCAGCCCCCAGTTTCCTGTCAGACCCTCCACCCTGCATCCCTGCTGGGGGCGGAACTGGCTCAGGCACCCACACCCGAGTCCTTGTGGGATTGACCCAAGGGGTCTGGGAGTTGGCAGGGCCACGCCCAGGCTGTGGGCAGGGTGGACAGGGTCTCGGTGCATGCAGCTGACCCTGACTTGGAAGCTGCACACCCAGACCTCAGCTCCCCAAGCAGCCCCTTCCGGCCCCGCCCCAGCCCCTAGCCCAGGACCCGCAGGCGGGGCGGGGCGGGCGGGAGCCGAGGAATGCGGTCGTGTCTGGGGCTGCCTGGCCGGCCCACCTCCCCGACAGGCCCCGACAGCCCGCTGGAGGCTCAGGGGCCTTTGCAGGATCAGCCGCTCCCGGCGTGGAAGCAGAGCCTCCGCCACCCCACCCGACTGCCACGAAAACCAAAGCGAGGCGCCCCCTCCCCCAAGGCTTAGCTGAGACAGTCTCAAGGCCTGGGGCTCCCCAGAATCTGCAGCACCCAGGACTCCCAAGGATGTGAGTAAGCCTCCTGGCCCGCTCCGCCTGCCCGGACAAACCCACACCCTGATCTCCTTCCAGGCAAGGGCCCCACCCCGCCCAGCCTGCAATTCCCCAGGACAGGAAGCAGGGACTTTGGCTGAGGGTCGGGCCAGGGTCCTCACTGTGGGAAAAACGCCCCATCCAGAGACGTGGGGGAGCAGGAACACGGTGTGGAGCCCAACCCCAGCTTCCCTGGTGACCCCCTTCCTGCCTCCTTCTGCAGGGAACAGGACAGAATCCAGGAGCCCGGGGCTGTGAGGGCCTCTGCTCCCCCATCCCGTTCAGCGGCCCCCAAAGAGGGTCCCGGGCCTCCCCTCCTCTCCCTCCTCCTCCTCCTCCCATGGGAGTCGGGAGGTCAAGATGGCAGCGACAGTGACAGATGGACCCACATTCGCTGTCTAAGAGGAGCCCTTTGCCGGCCCTTGCACCTGGACCTGGGCCCCGGCATGGACACGCTGAGCCCTGCAGACACCGACAGACAAGGGACCAAGGGACCTCAAGAGGACGCAGAGGGCCCGCACCCCGCCTTCCCTGGTGCGCCTGGCAGTTTGAGAACCAGCTCACTGGGGCAGAGGGTTGTCAGGCTGGGGGGACATCGGGGCCAGCTCTGCCCCACCCTGGGCTCCCGGGCAGGCTCTGCCCCGGCAGTGCCTCCTGCGGTTAGTGAGTCTCCTGCTCCACCCCAGGTGGGCAGCCCCATGCCAACCCAAGCAGGGAGCGGGCAGGGCCGGGCAGCCCCCCACATGGCCCGCACTGTGCCACAGGGGTGGCATCTAAGGAAGGAGGAGTCCATCCCCGCCGCTAGGAAGCCCACAGCCTGAAGAGAGGGGACCCCGCGCCTTGGCATCATTGAGTCAGGAGCCGCCTCAGAAAGGCACAGTCCTGGCTCCAGGCTGCCGCACCCAGGGGCGGCAAACTGGGCCCCCACAGTCGGGGTGTGCGGGCCCCGGGGGCGTCTCTCTACCTCTGCCAGCGCCCAGCGGGGTTGCGGCAGAACCCCAAGCCCTCCTGTGTTTCCCCGAGTCCTTTTCTGTCTCTCACAAGGCCCTGCAGTGCCCCCATCCAGTGCAACCTCTCCTGTCCTGCACCAGTAAGGTCCTGTTCTGAGGTTCCAGGTAGACTGGGGCTGGGAGGATGCCCCCGGCGCCCCCAGCCACAGCCTGGCGCCATGCCCGCAGCCAAGGCTGAGACGATGTGCTGACCATGGACGCCCATCTGGGAGCAGCTTTGGGCTCAGCACATTCAGGTGCCAGGTCGGGCACAGTTCCCATCCGGGCTCTGGGCTTCCCACCATGCACTTCTCTGGCTCCTTCAGCAGTGGACAGTTGCTCTGGGAAAGAGCACTTTCTACTTCTAATTTCTTTCTCTTTTTTGTTTTTCTGAGACAGGGTTTTACTACATAGCCCAGGCTGCCCTCAAACATGCGGCGATCCTCCTGCCTCAGCCTCCTGGGTGCTAGGATCACAGGCGTGCCCCACTGTACCAGACAAGCCCTGTATAATTTTCAATACTTATTTTCTTTGGGTTTTTTTCAACACCTGTTCTCCACTCGGGTACTTGCTGTTGCAGGGGCTAAGTCTTGATCCCATCAGCATTCATGTCCCCCCACCCCGTGATGGCTCCAGGTTTCTGTCCTTGCTGACCTTGACCCTGGTGAAGGGCACTGGCTGGTGACCTTGTGCGATGTCCCCCACTTCGGATTTTCCCATGATCACTCTGAGGTTCTCATGCATTTTACCAAGAAATCCACAAAAGCAGCACCGGCCTCCGGCAAGCCCCCGCCACACGGGCAGAGAACCCACGTGTCCTGTAGCCAGTGGTGTCCACCCCGTCACTCCTGCAGGCGGTGGCTGCTGCACTGCCCTCTGGCTTTCCCCACCAGACTCCTTGGGGAAGACGCTCGCAGTCCATGCACAAATCCTTGGGTTTCACCCACTGCTTCATGCATCTGTGGCAGGGAAAGCGCTGCTGCCCCCGCTGGGCTCAGGAGGTCTGCTCTGGGCCCCTTGGTGGACTGTGGCTCCGGGAGACAGACACTCGGGGAGGTCCGGGCCTAGAGAGAGGAGGTGGCCGCCCCTCCTCCAGCCCAGGCCAGGCTGCACATCCCATGCCCGCTGCACTTGGCTCCTTCGGTCTACAGCTAGAGGCCAGGGTTCCCTGCCAGCCACGGGCAGGAAGTGAGACTCTGGCCCCTGCCTGGCCTCCAGCTCTCTTGCAGTCATGCACCCTCCTTGGCCCCTGGCCTTGCCCGCCTCTGCCCTCTGCAGGCGGGATTGCAGCACCTGCCCAGGCCCCTGGTGCCCTTTTCCCCCGGAGAGCTCTGACGCCACCCCCTGGTTTCCCAGGCCGCCGGGCCAGGCGACCTTGTGCCCCCCACAGCTGAGCTGAGTGCTCCAGTGTCAGTGGCCTGCTGAGCCCGGGTCAGCCTGCACAGCCATAGCATCTGCTGGCACCGCAGCCAGGAAGCTGCTCGGTCAGGATCCAAGCTTCACTTTTCAACGTCGGGGCCCCTCCTGCTAGAAAGTCCCCAAAAATGGGAGCCCCTGGGCCCCGGCAATGGAGGATCGACCTCAGCCTGCAGGCAGGAAACACGGGCCCAGAGGAGGGAAGGCACGTGTCGCCGCCACACGGCCTGCCTCAGAAGTAGCGAGTGCGTAGCAGTGTCCCCCGGGGTGCTGAGCTGGGCAGGGTGAGAACACCCAGGGGTCCGTGTCTGCACCTGGGAATCACATCAGGTTGTTAGCAGCATGAAGGTCAGGTGGTCGAGGACCAGCAACAGACTGGCTCCCCAGACAGGGGCAGTAGGGCTCGAGTTCTGCAGCCCGTGACCCATGACGTCCCAGAAGTGAAGTCCCGGGTGGCTCCTTTCGGCCCACACCTCCCCAAGCACCCTTCAGCCTCAGCCTGAATGTCCACTCCTGTCTTCTTCCTCCTCAAGTCCCTCGTGTTCTTCGGGAGCAAGCATCTGCTCGGCACATAGCTGAGAGGGGGTTCCTGTTGGCTGTGGGACATAAAGTGGATGCTCAGGGAAAGATGGAAGACAGAGGGAGGAAAGGAGGGACTTCAGGGTCCAGGAGGAGGAGGGGAAATGGAAGACAGCAAGGAAGATGGAAGAGTGGATGGATGGAAGGATGGATGGGTGGATGGGCGGATGGATGGATGGGGGATTGGAGGGCAGATGGGCAGATGGATGGATGAATAGGAGGGAGGAAGATGAAGTAGGAGACATGGATGGAACAGTAACGAATGGATGGACAGGGATGACTGGAGGGAGGGCAAGTGGCTGGTGGGCAGAGGGTGGATGGAGCGCAGAGAAAGGGCAGTCAGCCCAGCCAGGTCAGAGTGGGCAGCCTTCCAGAGGAGCCCTAATCATCCCAACCCTGCGGGTGAGCAGATGCTAAGCCAGTGAAGGACAGC